ATGTTTTTAGTGATTGTAGCGTACTTAACCCTTCCAAGGTTATGTATGTACGTAGATATAAAGTATGATTCCAAGTCCAAAGAGAACGTTGTGATGACAACTTCTTAAATATAAAACAGCAGTACATTTTAATGCAATAAGACTTTTATATGTTTTCATGCAAAGGTAGCTTGTCTTTTATAGTTGAGTGTTGTTAATATTTTTTTTAAATCACATTTCACTATCGCACTCACATACCACTATTGCAATGCGTACGAAATAGTACATTTTTTGTGTGACCCATTTCCAAGCGTGTTTATCTCATATCTCAACACAGCCGCATTCATTTGTTTTGTGCCCTGCTTGGCTAATCATTACTCTGACTTATTTTTACAATTTTTTAACTGTGTGCCGTTGTTACATTTGTTACATATTTACGTTGTTACATTTTACGTAAAATTTTCTCTGAAGACGTTTCTGCCGTTAGCTTCTCAAGCAGATGGAAAAAAAAAAGAAAAGGAAAAAAAAAAAAAAGAAAAGAGAAGAGAAACGGGCCCAGAGCGGAGCTTTGGGGATCAGGATTTACTCCTTCGGCGAGGATGTTGGGGAGTAGCTCTTTATTGTTGTAAGACGCCAGTGGAATATTACTGATGATTAATTCTCATTATCCTCTCTGGCAAAGGCCGCTGGAAGGACCTGTGTTATTGGCAAGCCCTGAATTAAAGGGAAGCACTCCATGTAGCGTGTTATTGTTTAACTCCTGTTATTTCCTATAGCTTTCAGCAGCTGTGTCTCATTGTGAACGTGAGTGTGTGTGTGTGAGAAGGGTAGGGTCTTAATGCGTAGTCGGGAATAGGTGGTCGTATGATGTGAGACCCCCATCGGCACAATGTAGTGCCCCGGTCGTTCTGTGGGAGTCCATCGGGTCGGTGGATCACAGACAATAGTGCCGCACCTGCTTCCTCAATGGACCCGGAGCGAGGTCTTCCTGTTTGGAGCTGCTGGGAGTTGGCGAGCAGGCAGTGGGTGTCCCTCTGAATCCTCCGACCCCCGTGTGAGTGACAGGTGGCGGAGTGGCCGGGATTGCGAGAGCCGCGCAAATGTCCGGACCGTTAATCCAAGCGTTCGGTTAGCCTCCTTTGCATCGTCGCCATGTCCTGAAATGTAAAATCCTAAAGCAGAACCACAGTCAGATGCATAGATAACCGGGTTTTAAAATACTTACATGAAAACACCCAAGCAGCTAAACTGATGCAGCTTCACAGATAAATTAAATGTGCTGTGTCATTAGAGCAATTTTCGATGTGACCGCACTATTGCCTCATGCGCTGTCCTGGAAACAGGAGCCAGCTCGAGGGTACCCAAATGTACCCTCGAAACCCAAATGTAAATAATCTGCGTCCAGACGAGACCCCGCGGCCTGAGCCACCATACATCACTATCAGCCGACAGTCCCCTTTACTGCCCAGATAAATCACTTCCATGTGTTATTGTGTCTTTATCCTTGTTTGGTATACCGGCCATTCTCTGCAGCCTTTGCCCGACGTGACCTGGGCGTTATCCGCAATTTTCCCATCATGAGTGTGGCTCATTGGTGCCATCGAATCGTGCAGAAAAGCTTCATAGCTCAGTTTCATGTTTGCGCCTGGCCTATGCCCTTAAAAATCCCCTACGATTCCCGATTTGCATAAAGAAAAACGAGTTTTATGAAAAGCTGCCACCAATAATTCAGCACTAATAGTTCTATTCATCAAGACACGGCAACTTCTGGTGGTCAGGAGAGGTTAGGCCTGTTTCTGCCCGTAACATCAGCACGGCTGCTCGAAATTCTTGAGTCAAAATGGAAATAAGCTCGTCTTTCCGCCACCAACTTCCTGATGATTTTATATCCTGGGTTACAAAATATCAGAATGTGGAAGTAAACTTGTTGACATTCGAAAAGACGTGCGCACATCCCCTTATGAAGACATGTGACATGATTACAACACTCTTACTATGCAGAAAGGTACAAAATGTGGCTGTATTTTAAATGAATGTCATCAGTCTGAGAATCTGCAATCGAGGATTATACGAATTATAGCTGTAATCTAAACCCATGATACTTGAATATATAAAAACGAATTATTTATTATCGAGGAGTCGTATGCAATTATTTTTCGGGATTTCCGTAAGCGTAAGGGAATGTAATGAGGGTTTCTGCCATAGCGATTAAGGGAATCAAGCTGTAAACAGAAGTTGGTAGCACCCCCTGCTGTTCCCGCAGAGTAGGACGCCTTGCCCCGCAGATGTCCGGCTCGATGCAAGGACACCTGCAAATAAGGGCACTTTGCACCAGAACCAGTAGCCATCCCAGGCGCATGCCAACCCAGAGGTGCGATCCCGGCCCAGTAGTGTCGCACCAGCAGTTGCGGTGTGTGCTTCCTCTCCAGGCCTTTCCAAGTGTCGTTAATGAGGGCCCTCGCTGCTGGCCAGCGCTGACCCCCCGGCTTCCTCATCCGCTGCTCGCAGCTCGCTGACCCCAGCCGCACACAATGATACCTTCCTGTCTGTCCTTGCTAAGGGAAGCCCCCTTGTGGCTAAATATAGGGGACCCCCCCTCCTCCCGTGTCCAGTTGCCGTGCCAGCGTTAGGTTAGCGCCGTCAGAACGATCCCGAGTCACATGTGGCCGGTTGGATCGTGTGCCGGCAGTTATGATCGCGGCGTTCTGCGGTCACGTTTTTCCCGTATGCCACGTGACGACAGCCTGGGCTTTCGTCTCACTGATTTAGCTACGATTAAATAATTAAAAAATGCGAAAGAAAAATAAAGAAATATGAGGGTGAATGTGCCTGTTTGGCATGGGCTTGTATGTGCTTGTGGATGTTCATTTATGAAGCAAGGATGCTCTTTCTTTATTGAAATTAAGAAAACCATCATATGACATAGTTTCTACATTTGATACATATTTATCTACACTTGTAATTTTTAATAGAGTGATCTGTTGTAAGCGTGCATTAAAGTATTTCTGGCAGGGTGCTTTTTAACACGTGGAATAAATTGCAAATTAGCCCACCAGCTTGTTGCCTTTGTCCCAGGGTAATATTCAAATTGACTTTTTCACATCACATATTACTAAGCCACAGGTCGGCTAGGAGGTAAACAAGTTCATTTTCTTAGTCCGTTTTTACGGTTTCACAGCACAGCATTGAAGCGAAATCAGTCTGTCACGGGATATTTCAAAATGTCAGTCTCCCTATTTCTTTCGGGTGTTTCCGACAGTGACTATTTACTTGATAAAAAAGGGCATAAACCTGGCTGTGGACAGTAGGGACACAAATATTGTGGGGGTACCGTGTGTTTAGGGGGTCCCTACCAATGCTGAAACCAAACCTACTCCCTTGCTCGCAAACCGCTCCCCATTTGGGCATGTTTCTGCTTCCTGCTCATCAGATGGGGTCCCCTCAGGTCAACCTGCCTGTCAAAAGTAGGAGGGACATCTGCTGATCGTCCAATCAGATTAAAACCTTGTCTTTTAACATCATCTGTTAACAACCTCGTCTCAGCTGAGGTCCCTCCAATGATGCTTGATGTTCGCAACAAGAATATTCTGAGTCACCACATCGGGCCGCCTCGGACTTCCTCATTACTAAAACACTTTGCTATTCTTAAAAGACCAAAATGGTTGTTATTTATTTGTTTATCAGAAGGTTCCACTTTTTATACTGCATTATGATATAAAGTTTTGTTCTCAGTATGAAGCAACCCGGGTTAGTATTACATGTGTCAGGTTGTTTGACCTTTGGGTGTCTGAGTCACACTGAAAACAAACGCATTACAATTATTACTGTTAAGGCGATATGGGGATTTTTCTTACATTTCGCATGATTTATAATAGGATTTTGATATGGCATAGAATGGATTTACAGAAAAATGTGTTTCTCCTTAATATTGTTCTTCTGCTGGATGTAACATCCACTATTATATATATGGGGGACTGTGTGACTCACTGGATTTGGACACTGTACCTGTGATCCGTAGGTCAACAGTTCGCATAAAATGTTAAATAAATGTAAAATGAAAATACACATCTGCATGTATATATTGTGTCAAGTATATGCATTGTATCACATCATTTACTTAATTGTGGTCTAATGTTGGTTTGTCAGTAGGAAAATAAGAAAAAAAAATTGGAGTTATGGAAACATTTTATGTCACAAGCGAGCGAATCACTGATCGTGGGCAAGCATTTGCACTTTTTTTGTTTTTTTGGTTATTGCCTCAAAAGTTGGTGCTGATTCTGAGCAAATTCCACGCTGTGGTGAGAGTAGGAAGTGGCAGACGTCACCGCCAACCGTCACCGCATCCTGGCCTTTCCGTGTCACCTGAACGTGGTCAGAAAGCCAGCGTACCTGAGCGTGGCCAAGGTCACCCTGTTACAGAAACACGAAACCTTTTTGGCAGAAAATGCCAGTCAGGCAGTGATCAGCCAGTGTGTTTTTTGCCTTAATTCACTGCCCCATTTGAGCAGAGATTTACTCATCCGTTGAGTTTTCAGATGAATCTCATTTAAGCTCATATAAAACTTTGGGTGACGGCATCGATACAGAAATGAAACGTATACATCTTGATAAACATTCCCACTCATATATCATATGTCAGCTTTTACAAAGAAAAATATATGGACCTTTAGTCCTGGTCTTCAAGAACCAGTGTGATTGTGAATCTTTCTCATAGTTAAAACTACCAATAGACAATTAAGGACTTCAATGAATTTGCAGTCATTTCTCTCAGGACCGAGGTGAATAGCAACGCAATAAGACCTAGAAGGCCGGCAGCCCTCCAGGATGAAAACAGGACATCCCCCATTTCAAAGTGTATTGTTCTGTTTATTTTGTTTTTCGTTGGCTATTTCTTTGTGGAAGTTTTTCCTGAGTATCTTTCCCACAGGTCAAACAGCAGGTTGAAAACCTACCGCTCTCTGGAGATGGGTCTCGCTCTTTAATCTCGAGTCGTCTGCTTGACGCTTGCCCTTTCTCCCCAGGAGGTGAGCCAACATGCAGAACACCACATGCACAGAGGACCGTATCCACCACGCCCTGGAGAGGTGTCTGGATGGCCTGGGAACTGGCTCCTCCCTCTCACGGTCCTGGAATGGTAGGTGTCCCCATGCCAACGTTCATCATCTGCTGTCAGACTCATCCATTTATTCTATTCTTTACTCTTCTTCATCCAGACATTGTATGCAGCCTCAGATATCCATGTATAGGTATATTTTCGCTGTATGACACAGTTTTGTGGATTAGAACTCATGGTTAGAAAGTTGCTGGTTCCAATCCCATGACAGCCAGGGTGATCATGTGATTGTCGGGCCCTTATCCAAGGCCCTTACCCCTGAAAATGGCTCCTGGGATGCCAAATAAAATGTGGACCCTACAGTCCTACTCTAAGCTTTGCTGCCTGCTCTTACCTGCATCTGTATGTCTCATAGTTGACTAAGATGGGATATGCAAAATATAATGAGTTCCTTAGCACCTCACTCATACAGTTAGCAAATAAATCATTTTCACAGATCATTACTTAAGGTCAGCATTGGGAAAACCCACATCCTGTCAAAGGTCACTTTTTCCACTATTTTGCTACTCCTCTGAGTGTTGTATTACACGAACAGCTGGAACTGCATCTGACACAGAAGACACAATACAAATGGTTTTTGCAAGAGATGCAATGCTGAAATAAGTTCATAAATCTATGTTTTGTGAAAATGGGCTGCAGATCTACATATGGCAGGTGAAACGGGCGCATCGCAACTGCTCCCTAACAACCCGGGCAGTTTTCTCGGAAAAAACGTGCCACTTCGAATTTCACGCGACTCGATAAGCTTTCAATCGCTCTCTCTCTCTCTTGCTCTCTCTCGCTCTCTCTTTCTCGCTCGCTCTCTCGCCTGCTCTCTGCTTCTGCCTTCGGTGCGGAAATCTTATAGTTAGCGTGTCAGCTAGGAAGGAAGTGGCGACCACACATAGTCCCATGATGGGGGGGGATGTGATGAGCACGCTGACACTGATGCCCACGCACAAAACCGTGCCGAGCGAGAGGCTGTTGCGGTGCAGAGAGCCACCGCAGCACCATGTGTGCACAGTGCAGGTGAGATTAAATATGGGACGTAGCACCAGGCACTTTTCAGCGGGATTTCGTAAGGCTGTAAAGTACCACAAAGCATCTTGTGAAACGTAACGGAAGGAATTGAGCTCAATTTCTGATTTGAAGAATATCCTCAACTGGGTTAGAAATTTGATTCCTGATCCTGCAGAAGCGCAGTTTAGGTTCATGACACTACGGGCTGAATGACCCCCATGGTGGCAGTCACACCACCTGTCTGGGCCGTAAGGTCTTCCTCTCCCTTGCTTGGCACTCTGACCGTTGGCTTCTGTGAAGGGTTTAGTTTCTGCAGTTGGGCTCCCCAGGATGATCATCCACGCCCCTTTCTCCTCCTGTGTGTCCCGTTTTTAGCTGGGCTGTGCATGAACCGCTGGAGTCTGGAGGAGCTAGTGAAGAGGGACCCGGACAACTTTCTCATTCTCCTCCACCAGATTCTCAGAAAAGCCAAAGAGGTACAAACCCCTCCTTCAATGGCCCCCATCGGCCGTCACTCCTTCCATCAGTTGTCTCTTGCCCTGTAAATGCCTGAATAGTTTCTTTTAGTCAGCTGAATTGGTTAGTAAGCTGGACAGGTTACGTACCATCTGGTATCTTCTATAGGGAGACGTAAACCCATAGCAGTTGCCCAGTTCACCCGTCCCTCATGTCCGTAGGTCCAGGAAACGTCCGAGTATGAGCTGGTGGCCCCACTGGCTATCATGTTCTCCAACACCCTCCTGCAGGTAAGAGGGGGAACGCTAATCCCACACACTCAGCTTCTCACTCTGCATTCTTCATCTAATCATGTGGACCAATAGGAGGAGATTGCAAGTACCAGGACTTGCAAAGCCAGAAGGCCATTGGCTGGAGAACCAAGGCAGTTCTCCTACCATTTATTTTTCCTCGGCGCTCCTGTTTATAGAGAGCTACTTGTCTGCATCTGATTCCACAAATGGCTAATGCCTGCACATTGTCCCCTTGTCCGCTACACCCTGAAAGGTCTGTATGTATGTTTTTTCTTTTTTAGACGCCGCATTTTCCTGTGGACTCCCAGCTGCTAATGGAGGCCTATGCAGTGTTCCACCGCTTCCTGACGTGGCCGGAGCCATATTGCAGCGTATGTCGCAATCTGCTCTCCACTGTCTGCCAGGAGATGAAGGCCCCAGGTAGCCAGTGCCCCACCTTGATTATCTTCAAGAGCAGAACTGAGTCACCTTAAAAACTCCTCCAGAAAGGTTAACTGTGGTTCTTGGAAAAAAAAGATATGCTGTATTTTATCTATTGCCACCTAGTGACAAACATAATTATTGCAGCAAGTGCCAACCACAAACTTCCCTCCCTGTAATTGTTTTCACTGAAATTTTAAAGGAAATGTGAACTGGAACAGATGAACATTTTGCAGCTAAAAAAAAAGAAAAATTTGAGTTAAGGCTGTTGTGCATCTAGTTGTAGCTATAAACAAAATTAAAGAACTTTTCTCAACTGTTTTGAAGTTAGTGTGTTATGTCTGTTCAGCCAATAGGGAAAAACCTGGATTTTTTTTCTTTCCCTGGAGACAACTTTTGAACAGGTGATGAATCTTTGTTCCTAGTTTTCTAAAATGCCGATCGGCTTATGTGTTTTAGGTATCTCCTACCATCGGCTGGTGAGACAGGAGCAAGGATTAGTCACACCCATCCAGAGGTCAAAGACCATGTGAGTTCATATTTTCATAGATATTATCCAACGCTCCTGTATTTCATTATAGAAACATTTCTGCAGTTAGTAAGGTTATTTATTGAAGAGGAACTGAGTTTAGTTATAGTCTAAGTTATATATCATTTTCTTTGCATGCAACTGACTTGATAAAAGCACAGTTATGTACTTTGATTGGTGCATAAATGTGTTTCTTTAATCTACGATGCACATTTGGGTTTCATTGATTACATTTTAAATTTGTCCTTTTGAAATACACAGACTTTAAGCCAACTTCTGCTTTTTGCTTCTCTTAAAAGCGGAAGGTGACGTTTGTAGGTCAAGTGGGTTATAATTGTTTTTGCATTTTTGCGAGCTGCTGTGCACTGAACAGTCTTGTGTTGTGATAACCATTTTAAGAGTATCATAAGAGTGTATTATTAAGAATATAATATGTCTATACTACTGAAAACCCAAAAGACAGGAATGGCTTAAGCATTGATGTTTTGTCAGATATCTTCTGTGGAACCAATCTGTAGCATCTACATGTCATGCAGGATATCGACTTCCGTAGAGCTTAGGGCTTCTTACAAGGCTTTTCACAGGTCATCATTAAAGGAGCTGACAGTTGATAGTGTCATGTACGTGACGGTTGATATGTTCCCCGACCTGGTCCTTCAGAACGGTGCTCCTGATGAACCCGGTGGACGTCCCGCCTGAGTTCCTGTCCGTGGCCGAGCAGCTCAGCCAGACCCATCACTCCCAGAAGGAGGCCTACATCACCCTCATAAAGCATGCGTACCAGGCAGCCTTCGGCACCAAGTACTCACTCCCCTGCATGCAGAAGGCCCTGCAGGTACACGCTCCCACTGAGAGGGAAGGGGTCCACTTTGCACAGGGGGAAGTGGTGACCAAAATACCATAGATGGCTGTAGTTTCATATCCTGATGACTTTTCACTGCTCTGGATTTCCCCACACGAGTCTTTTAGTTTGCCCTTCAGCCCTTTCGAATCTTCCAGCACAGTGTTTCTCAACACAGTCCGTGGGGACCCCCAGACAGACCGCATCTTTGCACCCTCCAAGCTCACAACACCGGTACCAGCTATTTTGTGTTCTTGATTGGCTGGGAGCAAAGCGGACTGTCTGTGGGACCCCAAAAATTTGGTGGAGAAACACTGTGCTGATGCGGCGGTTTGACAAGATGCGTGAGTTAACGCCTCATGCGTCACCTGACAGGATAAAAGTTTGGAGGAGTTGGGTCAGATCTTCACTGCGGTTTCGGAGCTCATGGAGTCAGCTGCCTCCATGGAAGATCCGGATAAAGCCCGGGCCGACTTACTGCAGGGCCTGGAAGGACTGAAGGAGAGGGTTGGCATCCATGTGTCCAATGGCAGGAGATCAGAAGGTCTGGCAGCCTTTAAATTTACATGGAAAAGTTTCCTAATATCACTTATTGCATTGGGCTAGTCTCACTTTAACTAACTATTCACCGTGTCGTTGACCTAACCAGGACAGTTGCAGACTCTCCCTCTGCCGATCGCCAGAACTTGCATGTATGAGTGGGACAAGGACAATTTTGGTAACGATCTTCAGAGCTTTTCCTGACATAAAGTATTCCTGTCCATCCATTTTCACCTGTACATTATCTAATTGTGATTTTCTAGAACATACCTTCAGCTTTACATTTATGTATATTTTTTGATTTCTTTGACAGATATTTTGAACCAGATTCTGGAAGATGAGCTTGCACAAATTCCTGCTGAAGAAGGACTGGACGAGGATGATGATGAGGAGGAGAAAGGGGAGCGGGACGAAGAGGACATTTCGGAGGAAGACGACATTGTGACGAATGGCTGTGTGGATCATAGAGCCTCCACCATCTCCACCATGTCCACACTATCCACAATCTCCAAGGACTCCATGTTCTCCACGATCTCGGTCATTTCAAACTGCTCTATGCCCTCCGTGTTGTCGGTGGCTTCTGGAGCAGACAGTGACTTCTGTGAAGACATGGAAGATATCCTGCCAGAGCGGGGCACCAAAACCAAGCCTGGTTTAAGTCAACGCTTTTCCATGCTCTTTAAGCCAAGAAGCAGCCATTCCCTGTCCCGCGCCAAAAGTCTGGGCAGTTCCGAAACCAAAGACTTTGTGGTGGTGCGATCGAAACGCTCCAACTCTCTGCCCCAGCATGCCCAGCTGCACAAGCCAGAGCGGTTCCCTCTCAAGCCCGTCTGCTTCCGGAGAAGGCCCATCCTGAGCTGCGACGAGGACAGCAAGGCCACCACTCTCCGTGTGGTAGTGTTTGGTGCCGACCACGCTGCCGGGAAGGTGGCCCGGGCCTACAGCAGCCTGCGTCTGCAGGAGAGCACAAGCCCACACCTCACTCGGGTTTTTAAGCTGCGGTTCTTCTTCATTCCGGTGAGAAGAAGCAGCTGCAGTAGCAGCCCTTGGAAGATGTCCGAGAGCCTGCTTCGAGACTCCACCTGCGGGGTAAGTATGGCTGCTCCTGAGCAAAACAGAGAGACAGACAATGTGGTGATTGTTCATTGTAGTAGAGTAGTTATCAAGGAGTTATGAAGATGGTTGATATATTTATATTTCAGTTTTTAGATCAATATCAACTGTTATACAGAAAACTTTAATGGCAAAGTCTGTGTAGACACTGTGTAGTCTGTGTAGACCTGTGTAGCCTGGTCCACAAAGGCTGGATAGGATTCAGGAGTCCATCAAAAGTGATCTGGAGATTTTGATTGACTCTCCTTCACAAACTGGCTGCTCTGTGAAAGACTCAACCTGTCCTCACAGGAGCAGAGCTCGCTTGGCATGGAAGACAGCACTAATGACATTGCACGCTTCATCGGAATGCTGGACCCCTGGTACGAGCGTAACATGCTCAGTCTGCTCAGCCTGCCTATTGACGTCCTGTGCCAGGTGAGAACATGACCCCCGGTTCTGCTCGAGCGCAAAATACTCACAGGCACGGCATGATGAACCCCAAGTAATGGCCTACATTTGCTTTAAGGTGCACTAACCGATCATGTTTGACCCCCAAAGTTCAGTTCATCTGCTTAGTGTTGTCACAATACCATGACCGTGTTCTTTATTGCGCATAGCACCTCCTGCTGATTCACTGGCATCATTACTGTCATTACTTTCACAGCAAACCTCAAAAACAGAAACTGACTTTGGCGGCTGTGGCGAACGTCTGTCCATTCTGGCAGATCTGGTCTTGTACTACTGTCGCAATGCTGTCCGACCTGTGCTGGTACAACTCTACCAGGCTGAGGTGGGTCATCCACTCCCCCTCAAAATAAGATAAGCAGACGAGCACGTAAATTGGCCAGTATTAAAATGCTACAACTACTTGTTAACATGTCAAAACTAGATCTGAATGAAATATAACAGCAATGTATCCAATGTGCCTGTGATACCCTTTGCACCATATTCAGTGTTCAATAAAAAAATAAATGCTGTACGAATAGCCCCTTGCCATGGTCTATATGAGTGACTGAGGGGTTTGTCCTGCTGCAGCTGACCCTTGTAGGAGGAGATAAGAGGACTGAGGTCTTCATCCACTCCCTGGAGCTGGGCCATGCTGCTGGTACCCGTGCCATTAAAGCTTTGGGTAAGTCTTCCACAAGTTGGTCCAACTCAACCAAGCTACAGACCAACCTTTTGAGGTTCCTACTCCTACTCCTAAGGTAGCCGTATCAGTTTAGCAACAGCTCCACAGTGAGCTAAATGCGTACATTCCCCAGTCATTTTTTTCCCTAAAGCTTTTACGCCTTTGTGTAAATTTGTGCTCAGCGCCATAAGAGGATTTTGAAACCCTCTCATACCTACTGCCATGTCTTTTGGAAGATGATCTACTAGGCTGATCCGGATCCCATCCTAAGCATAGGCAGGGTTGGAAAGTGGAAAGCAGACATTATAACCTTACTGTAATACTCCTATTAAAGTCACCTCTGTTTTTCTGAGACATGAATTTTCCACATTGTGTCCTGCAGGAGCCGCCAGCAAGCGCTTTGGGATTGATGGAGATCGAGAAGCCGTTCCATTAACACTAGAGGTGGTTTATAACAAGGTAGGGGCCGGCTGCAAAGATAACTTCTGTACGCTTAAAATGTTAAATATAGAAATGCTCACAGGAAATGGCCACCTTAAAATATTCTGTCCGTACCTCATAGGTGGGTATCAGTGGCAGGAGCCAGTGGAACAGAACAGACAAGGTCTGCACGTCCATAAACCTGACCAAAGCCTGCAAGAAGCCAGAGGAACTTGGTATGTTATTGCAAGAACGAAATCTCCACTGGAAACACGGGGTGCTTTTTTAAACTGTTTTGAAATAAACGGGACATTTTCAAAAACTTACATCAGACACGGGGAACTTTGGCCCCTCTGTCGCTATTTTGCCATCCAATTTAAGATTGAAGACACGACTTCAGACATTCGCTCACTCAGTCATGAAGCCGCAGATATATATACCTCGGTCAAAAATTAATAGAACCAGAAGAAGGTTGTAATGTTTCCTGAGTAGCTGAGCTACACCTATAGCCCTATATAAGGTTAATTTCTAGATGAATGCTTAACTAAGGAAGAAATCTGGATAAACTATGGCTGGTAACCCCAATTCCAGGTTTACATCGATTGCAATATTAGTTTTAAGTCTTGTTTATTTTATTCCCAGCATATTTCTTCAGGGAAATGAATTCAAAAAGCAGTTGTAGTGCAAAGACAACTGAAGAAAACCAATGCAAGATCATGTTTGTACCATCTACAGAGAGAATTATGTCACATAAATATGTTGTAAGCATGACAATCAGCCCCCAAATATAAATTTGTATTCCTTTTATTTGTAAAAAAATATAGTTGCAGTTTTTTTAATGTCTGAAAATGGAATTAAGGTAGGATGCAGATAATTCTGCTTCTCCTGAACTCTCCCTGAATACTTCGGTCTTTAGCAAATAACACACGACTCTCATTCACCTTCATTTTGAGAAGTGAATGTTGGCCTAAACCGGTTTAAAACGAGAAATAGAAACCAACAGCCTGTCATTCTTCGTTGTTCAGACTCGAAGATGGAGTGCCTCCAGATGACGATGACGGAAGTGTTGAAGAGACAAAACTCGCGATGCAAAAAGGCGTACAATCAGGTGAGCAGGAAGTGAGAGGGTGCGAAAAGGGCCTGGTAGCAAAACAGGATAAGGTGCAAAACTTACAAAAACATCAATTTCATGTGGTTTGGGACAGCAAAGAGTCACAGAGAAAGAAAAAAACACAAATACAAACCAGAGGCAGTTCCTGCACAACACTGTCTCACGAAAACCGTTTAAGCTGTGAGGCGCAGCTGTAATATTGTGTTACTGCATTTTACGCAAGCAATTTTTGTCTGTTAAAAACTCCTGCGGCCGCTTAGGCACACAGATGCAATATGGATGAGTCACAGGGCGTCCCAGTTAATACGGTCATTCCTCCATCTCTAAGCAACTGTCAATCACGGAGGTGAAAGTGGACAAAGTGCAGGTGAGCGGGGGAAACACCACCTTCGCCGTCTGCCTGGACCAGGATGAGAAGAAGATCATTCAGAGTGTGACTAGGTAACGTAAAACACACCTTTCAGGCTGGAGCGTAGCTTGGATGGCAGGTCCAGCCTCTGTTTGCCTGTGCTGAGTGCTTCTGCTTTTGAGGAGATCTTGTGCCAGTTTGACAAGCTAACACAATAGCTTTTGGATTGATTGAGTGTCAGACTCAATGAAGAATTAATTGTACATGAATGTGCAGCATATACTGTATGTAATCATACACATCTGTGCATAGATTATATGTATGTGTTGATGTGTTTACATATGTTTGTCTGTATGTGTTGATGTGTTTACATACATTGTCTGTATGTGTTGATGTGTTTACATATGTTTGTCTGTATGTGTTGATGTGTTTACATACGTTTGTCTGTATGATTGTCCTTATCGGTGCCGTTTTCCTGCTTGGTTGCAGGTGTGAAGTGTCTGTGTGCTACAAGCCCGACATCATGACAGACCGGAGGCTGCGCAAGTCCCTCTCCACATACACCGAACCCCTCCACCCAACCTTCTGCTCTCTGCTCTGCCTGCCGATCGCCACCTTTACTGGGGCTCACCCGTGAGAAAGTTACCCTCCGCTGGAGGTCTTTTACTGGACCAAGTTTACCAGAGGTCTAGATATTTGTAAAGTTTTTCTTGTTTTAATTATTATTATTTGCTTTATTTATCATTCATGACGTCATATATTGTCCCAGGGAAGTGGGTAAATGTGCAATAACTTTAATAACTTAAACCTTGAATAACAATAACCTTGAATCTGACAAAAACACAAGATAGACATAATTAATTGATAATAATTAATTTGAATGATGGGAAAATGAGTCTCGTACCAGGCTTCTGGTGCAAAGTTCACACACACACGCACACACACACACACTTGCATTTATAGCTTATAGTAAAGTAATACTTCGTATGTTAATCTAAACAAATACAAAAATCTATAAAGTATAGTAAATTATTACCTATGCAAAACGAATCATAAAAAGCGCTTTAAAATACGATGTAATTCTAACCTTGTCTTTAATATAATTACCGCTTTATCACTCGTATGGGGGGTTAGCCTATATGCCTCTAAGACATTCCTGTTCGTGCAAATTAAACATTTGTTTTATATTGGCAGCTTTGTTTACTTTGAGAATATTATCAGACACTTATATGCCGAAGAAAATACACTAAAAATGTTAAAGCGTTTTTCCGACTGTTGTTTCGCAATGGTCTAACATGCGATATGAGATAAATGAAAGAGCTGTATTGTGATGTATTTTCAGAGTGAAGATACTGTATGAACTGTTTGCACATAATAATATGACATAACATGACTATGTGATTAAATTCGACCCTTCGTAAGAAGTTTTAATACATTGAATGCAATATAAATGATCATCGATGCAGCAGACCTATTTTCGACACGAGACAAGCCGCACGAGCGTCGTGTCACGTGCAAAACGTATCCTACGCCGCTCACCGGGAGCGCGCACTCGTAGAGTCACCGTGTCAACCGCAGCTTTGCGGCGGATGCTGGGTTCTACGTTGATAAACACTGAGCTGCAAGCAGAGCAGCGTTTTTCCCTCTGACAAATATGCCTTCAAACGTGCATGTTAAATACCTTTTTCAGAACATCTGCCGGAAATTAAACCATGATACACGGCTGACTCATCCGTATAGATCTGCTGCATTCTCATCGTTTTTAGCTCCTTTTTTTATCCATACTGTGCGTGTTGATCTCTGTAAATACTGTATATATACGTACTTGATACTGTAAAGTACATGTGCATCTAGGCATAGCTTACGTAATGCGTATTGTTCATAAACTAACATATGTGTATATAGTGTAATTTATTGTGATTACGCATTTTTATAACTTGTCCCATTCCTATTTAACTAACAGAATCAAATTCCAAACACAAGCTTATCACAGGAGACAACGCAAAGGCACGCGCTCTATTGTGCAGGTGCTGATCACGGACACTTGCTACTTTAAAAGAATCATGACTTGCGGGATGAAAATAAAATGCGGTACACGCATGGTACATCATGAAGGATTGTTTATCAGATTTTTATGTATGTTTTGAACGGTGTTGATTTTTTTTTGTCGGTTTTCTTTCGGAGAAACATTTCATCATTTTACCTATATCATACGCAGTTAATATCTTTGTAATGCACTTGCATATAGTTACCAGACTCATCATGACTGTTGAAATGTTAAATCTTTGATCGGTGTAAGTATTTTTTGTTTGTGTCTTAACATGTGCTGATGTATTCTTGTTTTAGTGTCTCTAAATATAAACTGGGATCCCATTGAATTTGCATAAGCTTGACCCCTTCGGCATGATGGGGAAATTTGGACCCCTCTGTATTTGCTTACTGAACATTATTTATGTTTAGCGGTCGTTTTTTCCCCCCCGTATGCGTTTTTTCCCGCCATTGATGATCGCGTGCTGAGATAATTACATTGGCGGCAAAAAGGTGTCGGTTTTGCCATCGTTTTTCAGGATGTTTCTTAAAATAGTTCCTGCAAGAGGAACCGTAAATGGCTTAGCTAGTGACTGTAACCCTGCCTTCCAGTAAATACCACACACAACATGTCGTTGTTATGTGGATCTCCAGGCATGTCAAACCATAAACACTGTTAACTTGAGCCAAATCATTCAAATGCCTTGAGTTCTCTTCCCACTTCGCACTGAGAAATAGACCAACTTTTACTATTTGTATAAATATGGCAAGCCAAAATGAACGTTTTGGGTAACCGTCACTGTATTGCTGTTGTAACCAATGTATCTTCTCAAACTGCAGTGCAATTCACAAGTGTACCTCTCTCTCTTAAATAAAACTCAATTACATCACATTGAACTGGTTTTTTGCACAGCAGGACAGAGAAAACAAATGTCTGTGCCTATGATTGTAAGGTTGTCAGTTTGAGCCCAGCCTTGGCAGAATAGTCACATCTTTGGGCCTACATATGTGTCCGTGTCTAATGGAGAGCAAGATGAGGTAGGTGGAAAGACAATTTCCCCACAAGGGATCAATAAAGTGTCATTATTATTATTGTTATTGTTATTATTATTATTATGTATACCAAAGGTTAGGTGCTACCATTGAAGGTATGACAGTGTGTCATCTCACCAGCCACCTCCTCCAGCTCTTCTGGGCGGATACCAAGGCCTTCCCAGGCTAGTAATCTCTCCAGCGTGTCCTGGGTCTGCCCCACAGTCTCCTCCTGCTTGAACATGCCTAAAACACCTCCCCAGGGAGGAGTCCAGGAGGCATCCTAGATAGATGCCCAAGCCACCTCAGCTGGCTCCTTTCGACACAGAGGGGCAGCGGCTCTGCTTTGAGCTCCTCCTTGAATATCTGAGCTCTTATCCTATCTCTGAGGCTGAGCCCTGACACCTTGCGGAGAAAAATAATTTCTACCTCTTATATCTGTGGTCTCATTCTTTCGGTCACTACCCATAGCTCATAGGTGAGGGTAGGAATGTAGATTGACTGAAAAATTGAAAGCTTTGCCTTCTGGCTCATCTGCCTCTTCACCACAACAGACCATTACAGCATCCACATTACTGCTGACACTGCACCGGTTCACCTGTCGATCTCCCGCTCCCTTCTTCCCTCACTCATGAACAAAACCCAGAGATACTTAAACTCCTCCACTTGGGGCAGCAACTCATCCCCCACCCGGAGAGGGCAATCCACCCTTTTCAGGTCGAGAACCATGGTCTTAGACCTGGAGGTGCTGATCCTCATCCTGGCTGCCTCAAACCACCCCAGTACAAACTGCAGGTCACCGCCCGATGACGCCAACAAGGTGACATCATCTACAAAAGGTAAAGATGCAATCCTGAGGTCCCCGAGCCGGAACCCTTGGCTACACCTAGAAATTCTGTCCATAAAAACTATGAACAGAATCGGTGACAAAGGGCGGTCTTGATGGAATCCGACACCCACTGGGAACACGTCTTGGCTTACAGCTGGCAAGGCGAACCAAGCTCTCGCTCTGTTTGTACGGGGACCGAAGGGCCCACAACAGCAGACCCCGTACCCCATCTCCCACAGCCCCACCCCTGAGGGACACAGTCATGTGACTTATCCAAGTCTATAAAACATGTGGACTGGTTGGGCAAACTCCCACAATTCCCTCCAGTATCCTTGTGAGGGTGCAGAGCCGATCCAGCGTTCCACGACCAGGATGGACTCTGCATTGTTCCTCTGGGATCCAAGGTTTGACCACCAGGCCCGTCTCTCCTGTACCCTGGTATAGACCTTCCTAGGGAGGCTGAGGAGAGTGATCCCCCTGAAGATGGAATAAGGAAAAACTGTGTTGACAAAATAGGACGTTTGCTGGTAACTTGGTAACAGCTAGGGGGCACTGTAGTGTCAGTCACGATTTCGAGCTAGGCCTTTGCCGTAAGATGTAATAATGTAACCGGCAGTATGAGACTAGTAACCCATTGTCGGTGTCTGACAGTGAATGACTAGCATGTACACATAAAGCAAGATAAAAAGATTTATAATAAATTCATAATTTGGTTTTCAGCTCAGCCTTCTTGCCTACGTTTTCAATCCTATCCACAGCCTAAGTCTGTCTGAAGTACGATTACTGAAATTAATATTGCATAAGTACTAAAATAAGTAATAAAAGTACTTTTATTAAAAATACTTTTAAAGAACAATTTAGCAAAAAACTGCCCTGTTATAGTAACAGCAGGACATTTAGGCCTCCACTGTCAACCCTGCGCATCAAATGTGTGGGTTGTGAATTTGACTTCTCACATTCCTGTGCTTCCCATGGGCTAAACACACGAGGTTTGGCAAAATTGCCCTGTGGATGCCTTAAAATGCATTAGCATCCTTTCCTACATGCACCTTCCAGGATGGACTTCAGGCTCACCGCAAGAAGCCTCACTGCAGCCACCTTGAGGACATCTGAAGAACTGCAGGGGTATGGCGTCTATGAGGACAAAAGTATCGGGACACACCTCTTAATCATTGCATTCAGGTGTTTCATTCAGACCCATTGCCACAGGTGTATAAAATCAAGCACCTAGCCATGCAGTCAGGTTTACAAGCGTTTGCGAATGGGTCATTCTGAAGCGCTAAGTGAATATGTAATACTGTCACAGGATGCCACCTTTGCATTAAGTCAGTTTGTGAAATTTCTTCCCTGCTAAATATTCCACGGTCAACTGTAAATTGGAATTATCACAAAGTGGAAGCAATTAGGAACAACAGAAACTCAGCCACAAAGTGGCACACCATGTAAAGTAACAGAACCGGGTCGCCAAGTGCAAAGCAAAGTGTGTAAAAGTCGCCAACGTTCTGTTGACTCAATAACTGCAGAACTCCCAGCTTCCTCTGGCATTAACCTCAGCACACAAACTGTGCACTGGGAGCTTCATGGAATGGGCTTCCATGGCCGAGCAGCTGCATGCAAGCCTCACATCACTAAGCGCAATGCCAAGCCTCAGATGGAGTGGTGTAAAGCACGCCGCCACTGGACTCTGGAGCAGTTGAAACATGTTCTGTGGAGTGACGAATCACACTTCTCTGTGTGGCAGCCTGATGGACTAGTCTGGGTTTGGCGGATGCCAGAAGAACATTACCTGTCCGGCTGCATTGTGTCACCTGTAAAATTTGGTGGAGGAGGGATAATGATATGGGGCTGTTTTTCATGGGTCGAGCTTGGCCCCTTAGTTCCAGTGAAGGGAACTCTTAATGCTTCAGCCTACCAAGAAATTTGGACAATTCTATGCTTTCAACTTCGTGGCAACAGTTTGGGGAAGACCATTTTCTGTTCCAGCATGATTGTGCCCCAGCACATAAAACAAGGTCCATAAAGACATGGTTGGGTGAGCTGGGTGTGGAAGAACTTGACTGACTCACACAGAGCCCTGACCTCAATCCCATAAAACACCTTTGGGATGAACTAGAATGGAGATTGTGAGCCAGGCCTTCATGCGCAACATCAGTGCCTGACCTCACAAATGCTCTTCTATATGAACTGGAAAAAAATCCCACAGACACACTCCAAAACCTTGTAGAAAGGGTGGTGTGAAGGATGGATGAAGAACAAGTGTTAAGGACACCCAGGAGATCCGAGGGACTCGAGAGGAAAGGAAGGTTACAGCAAGACAGTAAATAAGCATTCAGTATGCCACATACCACAAAGAGTATCTCACACTGAATGGTCATGCAGGATGGTATATATTCAGGTAAGGGCAGATGTTTCTGCTAAATAGCTGGGTTTGCATTGCGTGTGCACACAGGACTTGACAGTGCATGATGAGCTCCATGAAGAGTTGTGAACTCTTTACCATGCTAAGACAATGATACCCCAGTAAAATACACAGATGGGTGAATTACTTTCAATAGAAGTGTCAGCTAAATGGTGAAATACCATGAGACAGGTTTTATTATGCATTATGTATTTCCAGTCTATGAGGAAGCAGGGATCACTCCCAAATACTTGCATCAGCACATAACGTTTCAAATGTGGCAAATGATTAACGGGAATAGGTATGAGGAACTTGAGGAAGACGAAACATTTGTATCTATGTTGTACTTGGTTGGTGTGGGTGTGAAATCACTTATGACGTGGCTTGGTTGGTTGTTGGTTAGAGCTGTAACCTCACACCTTTTTTGACTCTGGGTTTATTCCCCTTCCTGGTTTTGTGAATCTGGAGTTTGCAGGTTCCGTGTTTATGGAATAATGCATAAATAGAATCACGTCTCTTCTGACAATAAATAAGAAATTTAACACCAAATTTAGCACTTTTTGCCAAATGCTGCCACAAAAACGTAGCAAAAGCAAACCAAATGTGTCCTACTAATAACTCCAAAGTACGAAATCCAAAGAATCCAACACTAACTAGGAAGTTGAAAACATCGTGGTATTTCCTTGTTGATTCTCGGAAGATAGTGATACTTGTCACGACCTCTGCTCTGTTTAATCAAAGGTTTCAATATGTGCTGAAACAGCTAAATCGAAATTTACCGCGCGTTGTGATTTAATGGAATTTCTATTGCGCAATTAAAACGCCTCCACTTTGGCGTTATTCTAACAAATCGTACAGTTTCAAGGCTTAATATACGAAGGAATTATATTTTCACACGCCGAGTTTGAAGTCGCTCGACACTAATCACAATAAACTGAAGACTTTCTAGCAGACGAGTGGCGTACAGTCGCAACACGTAAATCCTCCTCTGCACTTCGGTCACCAAGATTTTGCAGTTTTATTCGCTGTTTTTGACTGGTCTATCGGAGCTACTATCAAGACGCAAAAAGTCCGCTTTATTTACATACTTTAAAACACAGTTAAAGCAATAGGGGCGTTAACCGAGTAAATCTCCGACAATCTGATTGGTCAGACCGCTCGACAACGTCCAATAGGAGTGACGCATTCCGTGAATGTGAATTTGACTGAAGGTACTGAGCGGAACTTTCCCACCGAGACGCGAGCTGGGTCTTCTGCGGTCCATCAGTAGCCGAGGGACCCGAAAATCCGAGGAGTTGAGGTGAAGTTATGACACTTCCCAGCAGGTAAACTCCAGTCGACATATTCACTCAAAATATCTGTGAATGTATTTGCGAATTTCTTTGTGTTCCCCTTGCATGCTCGGGTTGCGATTGACTTTAATAAAACAGCCTATCTATTTTATCGCTGTAAATCGTTTGCAAGTATACTTCTTATTACTTTTGAAATTCTCAAAAGGCATTTTTTTTTAACTTTGGTGAGAGGTTTTTTATATTGAGAAGTGCCACGTGATTGTGATAACGTACATTTTTACTGACTTTTATTTTCCTTGGCTTTAGCATAGGGTTTTTGTTTCAGTCACGTAACCGGCCAA